AGATAGATCCATCACTCAGAGCAATAATTCATTTGTGGGGCACAAGGAAATGGGGATTTTTCCGCATAAAAACTTTATTGAATTGTGCAATTTTGGTTCTCTATTTTTAACCCTTTCACGTCCGACGGGACATACAAGTCACAGCCTCATTATGAAACTACTAATCAACATAAGTCACCTTTAGCATCAAGTCTATACATCTCTATAATAGTGGTTCTCTCTAATCCCTAATGAAACTCATACATTCATTACTGCCCTCTATACTGTTGTTACTTGATGTGGCCATGTCCTTGACATCATCTTTCAAATGATACATTTTTGTCTTCCAAGTTCCCGTTGACTTTCGACCCATTTACATAAACAGTAAGTAATTCATGATTTTATCACTTATAAAGTAAGTATTATGAGAGTACATATTTTGATACTTGCCGTGTATGGATTGATGATAACATTTCTTTTATAGGATTAATTTTAGTGACGGGACTCTACGGTCCCGTTGGACTGTGGGTCATGGGATTGATGGGACTGTCAAGTCCCGGTAAACCATAGGCATACAGTAGTATTTAAGCACAGTGTAACATGCGTGTTGTGGAAGGGAGTGTACCTAACTTACTTTATTTGTGTTTTTGTTTGTATGTAATAATAATGGAATCAACATGCCAATATAAGAAAGTAGAAGGAAAGGAAAGATAAGAAACTAAGGATGGAAAAGGAAAATGAAAGGACATGGAAAAATAAGAAAGGAAAAGAAAAGAAATGATAAGAAATATAAAAGACAGATAAGGAATTATAAGAAAGAAAATGAAAGGAAAGATAAGTAATCTAAAAGGAATTTGAAATATAAGATCAGGAAACAAAAGAAAGGACAATAAAAGTAAAGATCAGGAACATTTGAAAGGAAGAGGAAGAAAGACAAGAAGCAAAAGGGAAAGAAAAATGAAAGGCTTTTGGATGAATAGGAAAGTGTTCAGGCCTTGAAATGGTTCCAATTACCAAATTGATAATCATCAAACCAATCATTTGAACTTAGTTAAACTAAACTAAAACCCAAAATATTTGATAATTTTTGGTACATTTGTTTTTGGTTTATTTTCTTCTCTGTTGTTGTTAAGCGCCTCGCGGTTATAACAACGTAAGGAACTATATTAATTCAGAATTATTATTATTATTATCGTAGTTGGTTTTCCTGAGTGAGAGAATTGAGGTGCCAACACCAATCAATTCTGACTCGGAAGAAGAGTATTTCGCACAGAGAACCTGTCCCATGGTTGGACGGGGAAGACAGTGATGAAGATGAGGATTACTTCCTCTAAGCACATTCGCTACCTATGATTCTGGCGAGGACGATGGTGGGGATGATGATGATGATGACCAACCCCGGAGACCAGTCTCTGAGTAGTTTTACAGAAGAAGGCGCACCAAAGAAGGGGTAAATGTGTTCAAGTGGTTGGATAAAAAAGCCAATACTTTCTATTTCTATCATAACAGTCAAACTATAATTTTGAAAAGAAGACTAAAAGGTGAATGTCATATAGATATTCCTTGTCCAACTGTAGCATCAGACAACAACTCCTTTATGGGTGGTATAGATAAAACCGATATGTTTATGGTTCTGTATGAAGTGGATTGGAAATCTATAACATGGTGACATCGAATATTTTGGGGCTAGTCAGATATTTGCATTAATGCGTATGTTGTGTATAAATATGCTGCTATTTTTTCCGCAGTTGTGATGGTGGTAGCGGGTAAACCTACTGATACGAAGTTCTTGTCATCGGAAGAAGTACACTTCTTTGCGGGTGGTGTAGAAGGATCGGGAAATGCTGTAGCAGGTAAACCCACCGATACGAACTTCTTGACGGATGAAGTGGACTTCATAACGGATGGTGTAGAAGGATCAGGAATTGATCTCTTGCCTACAAGATTCATTAGTTGAAAATCAGCATTCACTGCCAAGCTAAACAGTACTCGATGGATCGTGCTATAGAAAACCCATTGTCTTCTTTGATTCAGTCTTGACCAGCGTCGGCAATGATTAAAATCCTAAAAACGGCAGATTTTCTACCAGTATCTCAGGAACCTACGTTTTCTCTTTGACTCTAATGAGTAAGTACTCAGCTAGTAGCATTGCATTTGGCTGTTTGGAAAAGAATGACGTACAACAGATATGTGTTTGGTCCAATGGAAACAACGCCCACGAAATGTCGAGCAATACGATCACACTCAATCTGAAAAGGGGTACTGAATGTCGTTGACGTTGTTCTAAGGAGTGGCAGAAAAAGCGGACTACGGTCAAGCAGGATAATGTTCGTTTTCTGGCTTCTTGTTTTATCCAGAAGAAAATCTTTTAGATAAGACATTAACTTTCTGACATTATAATAGTTTTTTGAAACTGCAATACTAAAGCGCGACCAAAATAATTATAAGGTTTACAAGATTTTATACTAATATGATTATAATATTATATAGGTTTTTAATATAGCGTCCTATAATAATTTCTCAGAGCTCTATTACACACAAATGTAATAAATAAGAAAAACAGTGAAAAGATGCTTTTTTTAACTCTAAACATATTGGAGATGGTGCCATAATATTGGTGAACTGGCAGAAAAAGATCAATAACCATATTTTGTTTAGATGTTACATGTGTAGATGCATGCGAAAAAAACGATCTAAGTAAATGGCAAGACTGATCTTATTTTTATTATAGAAAAGATATTTGAAACCACTAAATATAACACATTCAAACACATTAAATGGAATCAAATCAGATATACTTTATTTCCATACAATGAAATGATTAAAATATAATTGATTGTATGGAAGGAGGATTAAAAATGCTAAAATACAAAGTTTTTTTTCTCTAAAATAGTAAATAAATTGTGTACAATATTATGTTAATTGTGTTTTGTGTAACATACCAGTAACCAAATTGTGTAATATGCCCAATAGTCACAGGAAGTACTAAAATGACGGAGATTTTACATTTTGTTTATTTATTTTAACTATAATTTATAAAATGACATCAAAATTGCATGCAATTGATTAGAATCAAACAAAAATTGTACGAAATTTAAAATACTAGAATACTGCATGAATACAATTAGAAATAATAATAAAAAAACAAACATTAAAAATACCCGAAAAGTAGCTCATCTGTGTTGGTGTTTGAATATACTAAACGTTTAAACTTTTGATCACAACACAAACAAATTTCATTACCGTGAAATTTTCGACCGTAATGCCACGGTCTTCTTTGATAAGAAAATAAATACAAGCACTTAACCATAAGAAAATAAATAAAAGCACTTAACATGATCAAAATCGAAAATTCTGCATATTATTAAATATTATTGTGTAATATACCAGTAACCAAATTGTGTAATATGCCCAATAGTCACAGGAAGTACTAAAATGACGGAGATTTTACATTTTGTTTATTTATTTTAACTATAATTTATAAAATGACGTCAAAATTGCATGCAATTGATTAGAATCAAACAAAAATTGTACGAAATTTAAAATACTAGAATACTGCATGAATACAATTAGAAATAATAATAAAAAAACAAACATTAAAAATACCATAAGAAAATAAATAAAAGCACTTAACATGATCAAAATCGAAAATTCTGCATATTATTAAATATGATTATAACAAAAAGTTATTAAATTATGAATTATTTGTTTATTTATTTTAACTACTATAAATAAATATGACATTAAAATTGCACAGAAGTAATTAAAACTGAACAAAAATTGCACGTAATTCAAAAGTTACATTAAAACGTATAGCTAATTATAATAAAGCATTAAAAATCAGGGGTCTTTCACGGGAGAGGGAGGTACGCATTGTTTGAACAAGGTTTATTTTACAGTGGTCAGGAGATCCTACGCGGAGATGGATATCAGTGGTGTATCTAGAGGGTGCGCACGCCCCTCCAAAAATTACTAGAGCCCCAGTTGCCCCCCAAACAAATCATTGTCAAGTAGTTAAAAATCACTTAAATCACCTTATTTTACGAGTTACCGCCCCTCAACTGATCATCGATCCCCCTCCCCACTTCATCGTGCCCCCCCCCCTCTGTCTCTTATACACATCTAGATGTGTATAAGAGACAGACTAAAGCTGCCAAGTTGTTGTCTTGAGATTCCACACCCACCTAGCTCCGCCCCACCATGGTTGGGGCTGAGTTTTTTTTTTTTTTTTTTTAGATTAGAGCACCTTTAGATGTCTAAAATAGCATTAGGGGCCTGCCAGAGAAAAGTGTCTGAATTTGAGAAATTGTTAATTAGCAACCACGAGAAGATTTTGAGTATAATAGTGAACCACCTGAACCTGTGGTAGTTCCGACATAATTAATACTTTCAACTTCATTGCCAATCAAAAGAATACAAAATGGCAATAGGAGATTAAAATATAGATTTCTCTAGTCAGGTTTAATCTCCTATACAAATACAAATAATGATTAAAAGGAAACCATAACAACAAATAATAATAATAATAATAAAGAAACGTACATTATTCTATATATTCCTTAAATAAATAATTTTTAAGTTGACTTATAAACGATTTTCGATAAATAATAATACGAAATTCAACATAAATATTATTCTATAACTTTGCTCCTATAAAGCTAATCCTAAACTTTCCTACAGAAATACAAGCTTGAGGTAATTACGCTAGATTAAAATCATTAGGCTATTATGATAATGTCCAATAGGTAAAAAGTAATCAGTTAATATATAGCGAGTTCGCTTATGATAAATATATATTCTATCGTTATCGTTGTCCTAGTGGCAGCCATAAGTTTAAATAACAGGTTGGCAAAGTGTGGCCTTACTGCTATGACCACCCCTTGTTTAAATAAACAAGATGTTTGTTAAACGATACTTACATATTATGTAAGTAGTATCGTTTCAACAAAAAATAATACAGTTCCGCTTTGCACTTCTACACACCGCCACTGGAGCATAATGTAAACATACAATAGTAGGATCATTTCCTTTGAACTGAACTGTTTCCTGGTTCACCAAGAAATACTTTTAACAAGAAGCTGATGGTGCCTATTGGGTTTCCCGAATTTCTTTTTATAAACAGTCTCACATGCACACGTTGTGTTTTTAGCTCTTCTAATGTTTTACATATTTTGGCTACATATCTTGTAAAAGTTGCCTATATTTATTTAAAAAAGAGGATTTATTTTTCCTGCGACATACACTGATATTAACAAAACCAATTGTGTCGACAACACTGGATTTACTTGAGTATGATAGATTCAATATGTCAGCTTGCCTGGTATTTTCCATTACTTTAATGTGATACCGTACGTCACGGTTGGATAATAGTTAAAGGAGAAAATATACAGCATACCTTGGAATTTTTGCTTGTAATTATGGTGAGTGGTTTTTATGTTTCTTCTATTGTTTCCTGTTTTATATACTAATGATAATAATAAACAACATGTGTATAGCGCCACTATCCATCTAACAAGAAGCTCATGAAACCCAATGTGTAAACTAGCAGATCGTTTAGCAACTTTCTTCACTCCTGGTTACTTTCGTATCTGTTAAACCGATACCAGCAACTCTCTCGCCGTCCACCACAGGGGCTGTCTGTAGCAGTACACTGGGGTATCCCCTAATCGCCTCGAATGATGTACTGGGTTTTTCTTAGTGCATCCATTGTCTACACTGGGCCTACGGGTTATAGTTCAAATACGAGAAGACTTCTACCACCAGAACAAACCATAGACGAGCCTGCCGCTCGATATCTGTAGGCTGCGTCGACCACGCCTTAACCACTTGGCAAGTCGATATTAGACCTAGAAAATGGTATGGTGGTAATATGCTTACGTATATCATCGAATTTCGGGATCTAGTTTCAGGTCCTGTAAATCTCAAAAGCCCCATAATTGCACTTATGTTTACACAATATTATATAGACCAGGCCTTATTCCCATCCTGTATGGGCGAGTAGACCTACTTTAAATTAATACAGAATTCTTAACAATGGACTGTGTAACTAAGTTACTGAATACTGAGTACCTGAAAAGGTGATAGGCCGTATGTAAATATTAAATGCTTAAACTAGATATAGTTAGTGTAAAGAACTCTTGTTTTGTTGAGAATGTTTCGATGTTTCGATTGATTTGCTTCAATCGACATCAGGCGAATAATAGCGTTATACAGTTTTCATTTTCTAACTGAATTTTATTTTCTATTTACATTATTACATCAATCAATTATTCATAGTCTATTTTAATCTTTATAGAAATCTTTCATGCGTTTTTTGAGGAAGGATCAGCCAGCGACGGTTCCATTGGATCCAGAGATCCATGGAGAACCTGGAGATGCTCCGGCGGCACATTTGAGTCTTTCACCTGTAGATTCAAGACCAAGATTGCCAACACCTACATCAAGCGATGATGATAGTGATAGTGATGAATACGACAAACCTGAATTCATTCATGAACAGCATTTATCGACAGAAGGCAGCAGAGCTCGTCAACTTCCCAGATTACCAACAAGAGGAGATGGGTCAGCTCCTAAAATACCACTTCTTCCTCCAAATAAACCAAAGCAGTCAAAAATTCATGAGAGTCAGCAACTAAGAAATAACCAGTCACCGACAGTGTCACTCAATTCACCTCCAATAAAAAAAAAAATTCCAATACCAATAAAACCAATGCCATCGATTCCTAAAACGACGAATGTTAATGTAGTAAAACCAACGTTTACATCTCGTCCAAAGTTGGAAAGTCGACTTCAAGGAGAAATTGCATACGTTCACACCCAACGTCTGTCTGGATTTAATCTATTTGAGATCAGCTTACAAGGTACAAATAACAAATTAACAAAACCGCCTATACCACAAAAACCGGGCAAACGAATACTAATCAAGAAACCACCACCTCCACCTAGCAAAGTATTAAACAAAGGACACATTAACAACAAGAGTGTAGAACATGTTAAGACGCTCTCTGTGTATGAACTTGCAGAAGAACTGTCAAAGTTAAATGTTGAAAGGTGTGTTGCTGAAAACGTGAAGCGGTTAAATATAGATGGAGCTCTTGTTACTAGCATGAGTCAGTCTTTAATAGCTAAATCATTGCAAGCAAACGAATTGGACACTTTGAAAATATACCAGTTCATTTACAACGGCTGGAAACCAAAAATAACTTCTCCCCGCTGTTGAGCCTTTGGCTAATTTTGTATTTCATGTAGGAAGTTGTGTCTTCCGTCACATGATAAATAGCATGCTATCTCCGAAAGAACACACTGTATTACATAATGTTTTAACTTCGAGTGAAATGATAATAATCATGCTAAAAATATTAAGAACATGACGGTATAACCATATTAAGCATAGCTTATCGGCACAGCGGCGTAGCTAGGTGATAACAGGCACTTGTGAAAGATTAGTTACCACCCCTTGATGTGAAGTGTCAATAGAGGCCCCTAGCCTGACTTACGGTTGGGGGGTCTGGCGTCGCTGTAATATTTTCAATACAACAGTAGTTATCTACAAGTTACATGACTTATGATAAGTTTTGTATAAAAAGTGATATATGAAACCAACAAAATATCAGCTCAGGCATTTAAGTATTTACATCTATTATATTTTATCAGTTAAATATATTACAAATAATACAAATGCATAATATAGATTGATAAAATAAAATTAAAACAAGTTAAAAAATTCAACAATAATGCAAAATTAAATCTACAATCGAATGCTAAAAATATAGCTTACAGCATTTTCATATAGTGAGAACAACCTCATATGGTAATAAATGTAGTTGCCAAGTGGCAATCGCTTTACACTAAACTATTTCCAATAGCCCAGAAGCTCCGGCATTCTTTTCACGAGTCGCATTTGATTAAATTCTAAGAGTAAATAAAAGAATACACAATTGAAATGACCACAATAATCAATAATTATCGCCTCTAAAACATTTATTGAGGGGCTTGCTGGCTGTTTACTATTCCTATGAAAAATTAAGTAAAAAACAAATTTATAAAGGCCTATTATTAAACAGGCCCCTATAACCCGGGCCACAGTGCTTTGCACCCGCTGCACTGGCCACACCTACGACATTGCATCGGCAAAAGGTTAGTTTTTAGTTGTATGAAAGTTCTCTATTGTACGGGAACCTGTAACCTCCCACAAATAAGGTCGTGAGTGCCATACAGTGCTACGCAACAAATCTAATTTTAATACAGTATAAGATTTCTT